TTAGAGAAATGGGTTTGAGACCAACAGTGAGTGAACCTTGTATGTATCATAAATGTGACAATAATGGAGCAGACCTATTTGTCGTTATCTATGTTGATGATATATTAATTGCTTCACGCAAGAGAGAAACCATAAATAAATTCAAGCAGGAACTGGCAAAGAGGTTTGAACTAAAGGACTTTGGCCAAGCAACCTTTTGTCTAGGGATCGACATAAAGAAAAATGGTAATGAATATCACATGTCACAGGAGAGATATGTAAAGACCATTTTGAAGAGATTTAACATNAACCACTGTGTTTATTGCTCTGTAGCGGACTTAATATATCCCTAACATTTATTATTATTATATTCATGAAAATAGACGCAAAAATTATCGTTATGACTTAAATTGTAATATAATTAAACGTTTTAAAATTAACCATTGAGAAAAATAGCAATATACTTAATTTATTATTCAGGACTTCCTAGTTCGTACATATTTACAGAATCTAAAGGCATAGAACTTGGGTTTCATCAGTGTTACTAAAATTGTGACTTCTGTATTTGTAGTCTTGACAATGACGTCGGGCACAATACTAGCAATTGCGCTAGCGTCTCTCGAATAAGGATATGTCGTGGCTACGGTTATTACTATTAACTAACAATTACACACAATGGTTAATTGGCTTGTGTGTAGGGCGGGCAAATTATTATGTAACTATTCACTTGGGGGAAAACTTGGCAAATATAAAAGAAAAAGCATACCTATTTTGCGTTCAAAGTAAGCCCTAATAGAAAAATTGAGAAAATCTCAATTATTGTTGTTGACATGAATTGTAAGCAAAACAATATTTGTAATCATAACGAATACCTAAAAAAATTTTGCGTTCTAAATTAAAAAGGAACGGGCAGAGAACAGGAAAATTATTTTGGTACTAAATTGAGTACAAAATTATAATATCCTAAATAAATAGCTTATTCGTTCCTGAAATGTGTACAGTAACGTTCTTTGCGTGATCATAATCGACAATAAGCGAAGTTACTTCAAATCGCGAGTAGATACTCGAGTTTTACTGGAATCGATTTGAACTTAATTTGTATCGTTATGAACAATAAATAAGTACTACGGAATAACAGGACTACGGAACCCTAAAAAGACGTAATACGATTATTAATCGAGTCCTACGAAATAGGTAAATAGGCTGAAGAAAATTTTATTTCTTCTGTTTAGATTAAGTAGACTTTCTTTGAATATTCATAGCAAACATTACTTTTTAAGACACTTGCTAAAAATAAAACCGTTATATTTGTGGGTGAAATATAAATGCGTTGGTTCGAAGGGAATCGATTTATTGGAAGTTTTAAAATAAACAAAAAGTTGTCTAATGATGTCAAGAGGAAAATTTGGTTTAAAACCGCCTTAGTAATAAAGTTACGTTTAGTAGGTACCTATGAGAATGTCTATTTTGAGTAGTGCGTATTTTTAATTAGTAACGGTTTAAACCTGTGGTTCTCAAAGTTGTCTGGGCTACTACGACTCATCTAATACAAGTTCCTAAACACGGGACCCACCTATAGGAAATTTCTCCCGCTGCCCAGCGGTTGGATCGGTAGGGTGGTGTGTCGTTCTACAGGCAGGGCCCACTCAATGTTCGCTCACGACCCACCACTGGGTCGCGTAGTTTGGGAAACCCTGGTTTAGACTCTAAACTTTAGAGTGTATGCTAAACTTAAAACTGTTTGTAGTTTGAAGCATTTTCTTTCCTCTAGAGAACGCTTTTAGACGCTGTTTATCAGATAATTAAGCGGTTGTATTTTCTAGAGTCTAGAAAATACAAGTAATAGTCTAGATCCAGACTAATCATGTTTCATGCACCGTCTAGCTTAATCTAGACTAGCCAGGTTTTCATCACGATTCTTAGTAACGGTGGAAACGAGAAAAAACGTTGCGGCAATTTTGTTATTAACTCTGTCTAGTAAATTTTCCAGTTTAACTGGAGTATATTATACAGTGTGTCCGGGCATGTAGTGATCAAACTTTAAGGGCGTAATCTGTGAACAATTTTATCGGTGAAAATACTTTAAATTTGGGGCTTGACCCATTTCTCGCATATTTACAAGGATTTAAGTTTTTAATTTTAAGTTTTCACCTCTTCCTTCAAAAACAAGTGATAGCGTGGGTAACTTAACATTAATAAGCAAATATTTTATATTATGCGATATCCAATAAAATTATATTTTAGTAGAAGTAGAAAACAGACACAAGTTTCATACATTTTAAGGGAGTAAGAATGGATTTAATTAGAAATAAACATGATTTTTTTCACACCTTTTTCAGTTATTTCCCAACACAAGAAAAACCAGGTCGTTAAGGTATGTTTTATTTGCATTTTATTATTAGTATTTGAGCTATTCTACAAAATGAATGTAAATTTATTCGTCTACGTCTATTAGTTTCGACGTAATTGTTGAACAGAGATACCCATTCCCAGCGGTTTCCATAGTAATCGGAATAGGTTGTGTGATTCTTTCAGGCAGTGCATTTTCGCATGTCGCGTGCGCTCTCTTCTTCTCTTTTCACGTATGAATTCGTATTGAATACAAAACTACACTATTTATAAACTATCATCTTTAAATAGAAAAAAACGTCAGATCCGTGCTATTCTCGTGAGAATATAAAGCTACTTAAACGTCGATCGCAAACCATTCGTACTACATTTTAGTCGTCAAATAATGTCAAATTTACATTATCAGAATACGAACTAGATTCCGACTTAATAATAGTTTGAAATTGACATCTTTCTTCCTTTTAAGATGTTCTCTATCGCATGGAAATTATTAGGTACCCTTGTGTTGGAGCTTAGGTTATAGTTTGTAGTATCTTGATAATAGGGGCCTTTTCAATAATAAGCCATTCTTCGGTGAACATTGGGGTTTACTTCGGTTTAAAACAATATTATAGGTATATTAAAGAAAATAAAGCCTTTCTTGTTGGCGGTAAAAAAATGGAAGCTACGCTTCGGTTGGCGGTCGTCGCATAGACAAAAATTCTCTCGGCTCCATAGACTTCTTTCTATGGAGCATGCTTGATTATAATAGAGGGCCAATTTTTTTTTCGATATGTATCTTCCGTTGTAGAATCTTTGAAGTGACTGTGGTGGAAAAAAATATTGTTATTAACTCCTTCATTGACTGCAAGCCGTTGCTTTCGAAAAAACAGACTAATCCAGTCTGGAAACTTAGACTGAAAACCTACGAGTAGACGTGTCGAATTTCCTCTAAAATCTAATGATAGCATAAAGGGGCCCAAAGTTAGGAACAAGACCTATAAATCATTGTTGCAGACTAGACGGTCGGAAAGCATGTTTCTTGGAGGGAAAGTACCCTTAATATTGTATATTGAAAATTTTTCTCAAAGAAAACATTCCTTTATTTTTGAAAAGAAATAGAACTGCATTCAAAGATTTCCAAAAATTTACTTGCCACATCCGGGAATCGAACCAACTAAAATGTATTAAAAATTACACCCTGTATTTTTATTACATGAATCGTTAGGGTTAAGTATAAGGATGAAATCCCTCTAACAAACTTGATAAATCTAATGAAAGGAAAACCATGAAATCTTAAATTATATTAATTACTAGCTGACCCCGCGAACTCTGTTCCGCCTTAAAGGCAATAAATAAGCCATCGCAATTTTTCCTTATTTGCTCACCGTTTAGACCTACCCTGGACTACGACAAACATTATAAAACCAAAATCATCTCAATCGGCCCAGCCGTTCTCGAGTTTTAATCAGACTAACGAACAGCAATTCATTTTTATTTATACAGGGTGTAACAGGCGGGGTGGATCATCGTAAGGCAAACGATGGGGGCTTCATTACCTATCGATATAACCCCCATGTATATTCCGCGATTTTCAATTGTTCCAAAGTTATTGAGATTTTTGTGAAATTTAAGTAAAAAGCCGGAATTCAGTATAAAAGTCTTCACCGTAGCTTAACTACAGTGAGCCCGCCGTAGGCTGGACTTTGGTGCAACACCGCGGTGGGCAACCCTCTAGTTGGGTTCGCCACTGATCGGGCGCCTTATGCGCTCGATACGGCCCGATCGCGAACGTCGGTCTGCGACCGACGCGGACGAACGGACTTCGCTTCGCGAAGCCCACACTCGGCCTCGTCGGCACGCGCACCGACGATCGCCAAACGGCCAGAGTACCTTCTGTACTCGCCACTCTGCCCGGTGAAGCTGGAAAAGCTCCTCAAGATAACATGGCGCGTCCCTTCAAAAAAAAAAAAACTACTGGACCTGTTTGCATGATTTTATTTTCTAGAAGTAGTTCAATAGTGGGTTAGTAGTTTAACCATTGAAAATCGCGGAACATACATGGGGGCTATATCGATAGGTATTGAAGTCCCCCATCGTTTGACTTACGATGATCCACCCCCCCCTGTTACACCCTGTATAGAAGATAGATGTACAAAAAAAATTATGGTATATGGTAGTAGTGAATTTTCGAAAAAAATTCGAAAATCTTTTAATGCAGTTCTCTTTCTTCTCAAAAATAAAGGAATGTTTTCTTTCAGTATTTTTTTCTATCTACAGTATTAAGAGTACTTTCCCTCCAGGTGTCATTAGAAATTCCACCCTGTATATTAGGTACTAAGTATTATAGAACTTTTCTTAAGTTTTCTTTACTCGCACCTGCTGTACAAAGAAATCTTGGTTTAAGCAAACACAGTCTTTTTATCATTTTAATTTCAGCCAAGGTCGTCCAATGCTGAACATAGGCCTTTTCCAATGATTTCCATATTGGCCGGTTGGAAGCGGCCCGGATCCAGCGCCTTCCTGCATCCTTTTTTACCGAGCTAGAATCTAGAACAGAAAAAAAGATTATCAGACTAATCGTAGAATATTTTTGCGTGTGATCCCTAAGTTTTGATTAGTAGCCTTGAGTTGTGAGTCAGCATACTTGTATAAAATAAACATCGGCCTGTAATTCAATTATATCAGCTGAGGCCGAAGCCCTTACAGTGTTGGTTCAGTACTGACGGAACCACGCACTCAACATGGTTGACGGTAAGTGTTTGAAGTTCATATTTTCCCGTCAAAATACGCCAGAAATAATAACAATAGACGCATTAGTGAACAAATGGAATTTTAAAAAAAATATTTCCATTACACTCTTATAAGAGTAAAAATTCTCATCTTATCTGTCTAGATGATGTAAATTTTCATTACAACTTTTAGGTAGTCTGTTGTAGCTGAGATCACTTTAATTGGCAATTAAGAGATTTTTTAATATTCAAAGATTTTACTTTGATAGCGAGTAAACAAAACATTCATTTCACGTATCATATTTGAAAATTACCTTCTACAGTCAGTTGACACATTTAATAATCTGCGATTTGACAAAATAGAACTACCAAAGCTTTATTTTGTTAAATTAAGTTAAAACGTTGTTAATGTGTTTAACGAATAAATGTTGAATATTTCTAGATCTATGGTAAGCTAGTTTAAGTAATAAAGTTTTCTTTAAGTTTTGAAGTTGTTGTGACCTTTTGATCTAGGTAGGTCAAAAGTTTTTTCATTAAAATGAAAGAATTGTAAACTTATTAGAGTACCTAAATTCGTAACAATAAATTCCAAACTGACTACGCTCCATCTTTTTGAGTAACTAAGGTCTTCACTTCGTGAAGCGATTGCGAAATTAAATCTGTCACCAATAATGTTAGTACTTTGTCTATTAGATCCTTTTAATTGCACCTCAAGACTTATTTATATCTTTGAACATTATTTAGTAAAACATTTGCCACAGTTTAAATGCGATACATGAATCGAGCTCGCTCAGAAGTGACCTTAATGATGTGTCAACTCAATTGCAGTAATAGATCCAGGAGTAGTCAAGACCGGCGCCTACAAGTATGAGGACGGTACGCGATACGTCGGCGAGTGGAACTCGAAGGGACAGAAGCATGGCATGGGACACTTGGTGCTGCCCGATGGGACGCGGTATGACGGCGCCATGATCGGTGGTCTTTGCTCTGGACTGGGCGTCATGGCCTTTCCAGATGGCGCCAAGTAAGTAATAAATTATTGAAAGATATTAATTAAAAGACATATTTAATTCAGCCAATCGTTCAGTATGCTAATATTTTCTTCCCGTTTAAAGTTATTCACCTCAATACAATATAGGTATTTCCACTATCGGTATTCAAGGTTATACGCTAAATGATGTTAAGGTACTTATATTTAGATCCAGTTTCAAAAGTTCCTGGATGTGGAGTATTTGATCATGATTAGAAACTTATCTGGCAGATACACTGCAAATTTTTGGTTTCACAGTAGTAATCTTTAACCCTCGCTGTGGGGTGTGACACACCCCAGTCCTTTAAAAATAGCCACAATTTTAAAAATTTGCAAGTGCTGAATTTGAACTTCTCAGTAGCTGGAATTATGACACTGCTGCTTCGATCAGCGTTGCAAAATTAGTCCAGCGGTGATTATCAACTCAGTTACATGCCTTTAAAGTGCGTTTGGGTGTCACACACCCCACCTGGTACGGGACGTTGTTAAAAAGTTTAAAAAAAATGTAACAGTTTTGGTGTAATTTATATATTTTTAGCTTTGTCGATTGAATAAAATTGAATACAAATACTATTTTTCGTGATTTTTACGGTATCTGAAATTTTCAAGCACTTTTAGTCAAATGAGATGACTTTTAGTGCGAATCTGGAAGTTTAGTACTGAGATACGAAGATGTATGTGAACATACACTTATGGGCTACAATTTGTACTTGGTGATACAATTTATGGGCTACTGAAATGGAATAACATATTTTATAAATAAATAAAATTGTTACGCTCCCATTTTATGCATTGAGCATACTAATTTTCTTTCATCAGAATTGTGGTAAATTGAAAACCGATGATCAAAACAAATTTATACCCTTTCAGTTTTTAATTTACTTTTAAATTATAAGTAAATATCTTGTACTTTGTTAAATAAAAACAGTTGTCATAATTAAAGGCACTAATTAAAAATTATACATAGGAAACTGATTCCTAAATTACAAGAACAACGGAAATTGTGTCTTTTTGTTTTTTATGATAAAAAAGTTATAATACATATTTTCAGCTCAGAGCATTTCTTAAACCTAATTAGCATACGTAAATAATCAATATTAAATATTAAATTCCACCTAAAAAAATGCTGAATGAAAATTTTATCACTTTGTATATTGGGGTGTGTCATATACCCCACCTGGTACGGGACGTAACTTTTAGTCACCTCGTACACGGAGGGTTAAAGTACATATACTTATCAAATTTCACAGTTCTCTGAAGCTTCAACCACACCAACGCGTGCAGATCGCTAACTATTATTTTAAGCTTTATAAACCACTTATAATAGACGACTCTATCTGATGTATTAGAGCTGAATGAATATACATACTTTGTATTGCGTGGACTGTCACAGTTCGCGCGACCTGTCATTGGCCTATGATCGCGCCGGCGATGGCGATCAGCACGCGTTTGTGTGGTTGATGCAAAAGAACAAGAGTAGCTAGTAAACTTTGAATGTCAAATACTATGCCTTATAAATAACTGTGTCAGTAACTATGTAAGCTTTATCAGTAACCCGCAACGAAAGTGTTTAGCTAGCACACAATAATTACTCAAAGCGCACAGCCTCTGGGGGATCATGAAATTTGACATTAGTGCCAATCAGCTTTACCAACCCACGCGATAGAAAAATAATAAAAATTCGTTTTAGTTTCACTTTAAAGCTGAGTAGAAAGAAACGTGATATGCATACAAATTAGTGGATTACATTTCCTCCGGGTTTTTGAAAATTCAATCCTCAAACCGAGTAGGCAGGTACTTTTATGGACATCATCGGGACGGCACGGTAAAGGATTTTAGGTGACAAAATAATAAATCTAAAAATGCAATGTTAATGCTTTCAGCAAGGCACAGCATGCTTAATAATACCGAAACGATAGCCTATATTGAAATTTCAACCGTAGCGTTAAATCTATAAACGTATCACCTAAAAATCTCTTGCCGCGCGCCGTCCCGATGATGTGCGCAGTCCCTTAGCAGCCCTCAACTCGTATGGATATCAAAATACCGCGAAAGTTTGTGAAGGGAATTTTAAGATGAATATCATACGTTTTATTTACTCAGATATATTTGTTTTCTGAACAGATTTCGGTCTTTCGCGGATTCGGTTTACGATTTTGTGCGTTTCAACTTTTTTCACAGAATCTTTTTCTTTTTTTTAAATAAAAGTAGCCTAAAAGCTTACTAATTTACTCCTTATAATTATCTATCCTACGGAAATCCTTGGTGGAGGCCGTTGTCCAGCAGTGGACCTCATTTGGCTGAAACGAACGAGCTCCTTATAACATCAGCTATGATATAGTGGAACTTTTTATACTATCTGACTCAATATGCATACAGATCAGAAATACCTTCTATTCCATTCTACATGATTTCAGGTACGAAGGCGAGTTCATGCAAGGCTGGTTCCATGGTCACGGAGTCTTCTGGCGAGCAGATGGCATGAAGTTTGAGGGGGAGTTCCGAGGGGGAAGAGTTTGGGGTTTAGGTAATAATTTCTAATTCATGTAAAGATACAATCCTGAGAGATTTTATAGACTTATCTTATTGTACAATAAAAAAAAACTCCTTTTGTTGAAATCAGTTAAAAATTTAAATAAAGGGTTAGGGTATACCGTTCCAAAGACCCCGCGTTGCCCAAAGGCAACGTTTGGCAGTAATTTTAAATGAACGATTTGAGTAAGTGTCAACAATTTCTTAAGTGCACACGGCGCACATCTACATCTCGTCCAATTAAAAAATATAGGTTTTGTTTTTCTGACAGTTAATTACAAAATTCAAATAAAACGAAATGCTGACAGCGCGTGACCTAAAAGCAATGTTGACATGGCTCCACTATTTCCCTTTGTTTTTGCTTACATAGAAATTCCATAATGATGAATATTGTCTGTGAAAATGAGATGAATATTTTAAGGAAAATGCAAATGAAATGAGTCTTGATTTGAAATTTGATTGTTGGTCTTTTGTTAGTAATTTTGATCGATTTTCAAATTATGAATCGGTCGATTGTTTGATTTATTGATGATTTAATTCTTTGCAAGCCTTATCTATATCATCAGACTATTCATTCAAACATATTTACCTTGTCAAAAAACATTTACGAGTTTTCCGTAATTTATCTATTGAGTATTCAACTGAATTATTTCTATGTAGTTACAGGTTTAATACCTAAACAATTATATTCTTGAGTTCACGGTTAGATAGTTAGCGAACCTGTCACTTAACCCCGTCCTATGTCTAAATTAACAAGCGTTTGCCTTGGCTTAGATTTTAATGAACAGTAACCGGTCTATTAATCCCGGGGGATAGCCTACTGACTTGAAATCCGCAACGTATTAAGGTAATCAGAAGAATTTAAGACTATCTGGGGACGTGACCCCCGCCAAGACGTGCCAAGCGAAGCTCAATGGCACTACGTACCTACTTTTTTAGAACCGAAGTCACATATTTTGACTAAGGAGTTGAGTTCTTGTGACGATCACAACCACTCTGCCATGAGTGTAGCGACGAAGAAGTAGAGTTTTTGAAGTTAGGCCTTATAGAGCTAGTGCGTGTAGAGTTAGAAGCTTGCTCTACATAAGATCTGAAAACTTCTTAATAGTGCGAGCCATTATGGTCTCGCTTAAACAATATTTCACATGGAAATGTTTTTGGTGGGATCGAATTTTGTCTATCACAGAAAACTAAATAGCGCGCGTCCCTGTTTCAAAAACTGGGATAAAAACTATCCTATGTCCTTTCCCGGGACTGAAACTATATGCCAAATTTCATCAAAATCGGTTCAGTGGCTTAGGCGTCAAAGCAAGATAGACAGACAGAGTTACTTACGCATTTATAATATTAGTATAGACTAGCGATCCGCCCGGGCTTCGCCCGTGGTACATTTATAGCTTATACTCGTAAATTCCAACGATGAAAGAATTTTTGAAGTCGGTCCAGTAGTACTTGATATTAGCGCGTTCAAACAAACTTTTTCATTCTTATATCATTAAGTATGAGTATAGATTAGTATTGATTATTTGATCATCAGGTCTGGTGACCTTCAGCGATGGCAGCAACGGTTTCCCTCGCAACGAGGGCTTCTTCCAGGACTGCAGGTTGGTGCGCCGCAAGCGTTGCCCAGAGGTGGTGCAGCGAGCCCAGAAGGTGGCCTATATGGCGCGCGCGCAGTGTCAGCAAATGTAATTCATGGAGTCAATAAAGGCACTTTTGTTTTATAATTAATGGCTGTGTTTGGTTCGAAAGCTGATCTAAAACAGAAGACCACGGAAGACCAGCGTCGTGGCATTATCTACTGAGATGCTACGACACCATGCGGAGTGGATACCTTTTCAGTATCATTGTAATTACCTACTCATTAAATAATTCTAAGTATTGTTGTAAGTGTATAGTCGATGATACTGAATAAACATTTTTTCTTTCTTTTCTTTCTAAAATGAGTTCTAAAATATAACCTTAATACATTATTGTCTGATTAAATTATTTTTGTTTTGATACCTTATGGTATTGTACCACTATTACACCAGAACTGTACCTACCTACGCCCTGCATAATACAAGTAGTACTGCTCTATAGATTCCTCAAATCAAAATCTTCAATAACTTTTGTGTTTCAAACATTAATCAACTCTCGCGAAATTTTTTCGTTTTTTGTTGTTTACGTAATAAATAAATAAAATAAGCCTAGACATCAATTTTATTGTTACAGAGATTTAAGCCCAGAAAAGATACATAACACTCCTAATAATTTTAATTCACTAGTTCTCATAACGTGGACCGACGACATCGTAAAGGTAGCAGGAAAGCGCTGGACGCATGCCGTTACCAACCGGGTAGCGAGCATTGGGGGATGCCTATGTTCAGCAGTGGACGTCCTATGGCTGAGATGATGAGGATAAAGATCAGTTCTCATAATATCCTTTTTCATGTTCCGCGTTGAACTTATAAAATAGGTCCCAGAAAGTCATCCTGCCGTGGTTGGGTCGCCTTCCGACCGTCATTTCGGAGTCGATCGTCATGTAGTTGTACGAGTCCACGGTGATCGAAGGCCACCTGATGGGCAGCAAGCTTGATGTCTCTGGAGTTGGGTCACTGAAACGAAAAAATGAATAAGTGGATATTTTTTCTTCTACAGAACACTACAGTGCGTTTATGTCCGTCTGGAACTCAAGGTATTTAGTTACCTTAGTTTGTCAATATTTAAATGCGTGCGATGGGCGCAGTGTCTAATAACCGAGGGTTTATTTATTTTACTCGTAAGCTACTCGTTAATCTGTATATTAAATCGGATAGGTAGGTATGTACCTACTAAATTTGGATGTGATCACAATGAAGCTCATTTATTATTATAAAAAAACATTTTTTATGTGACAAGAAGCTAACGATAAGGCATATACCTAATAATTCATTCGCCAAATAGGTTTGCAGGATAGCAGGTAATTTAGTAGAATATATTTTTTTACTAGGTGCATTTATTTTTGTATCTTATTGTTTTTTGTGTGTCATTTCTGAATCGATTATAATAAAATTCTTACTGATTACGAAATTTACATTTGAGGACTTCACTTTACTTGTTTTGATAATCTTATCTAGATAGAGCGATTATTTATACTTTCTGTTCAGAATGCTTATTACGCTATAAGGAATTGTCATAATTACGAAATATCTACGAAATACAGGTGTATGGGTATTGAATTCTACATTCAAATTGTATGTAAAGTAAAAAATAATGTAGGTAATTGAAAAGATAAATAAATACGTGTTTTCATACCTGTATTTTGCAAAATTAGTCCACATAGTTGTCATTCGGTCTATTATCAATTGATCTTCTACTGTTGGTCCTTCATTTAAATCTTTGGAGTCGAATAAATACGGCCACTCATCACCATGAGCAGCCGTTCCTATAGTGACATTATTAGTAATTTTTTGCAAATTCCTTTCGCCATAATAAGCGAAAACATATAAAAATATACTCTGAGATTTGCTTGCTAAGTATTTATTTATGGTTCTATGAATGGGATAAACATACGTGTAATCTGAATCGAATTCTATCGCTTCCCAAAGTAGGTCAACAGTTATGTCTTTATCTCCAAAATAAAAGTTCCGTATATTTGCTTCCATTTCAGCCATTTTCACGTCATCAAAATTAAATGTCTCTGAAAGCCTATCATTAATAGCATTGTAGTTGTCAAAATTAAAATTATTAGCATACCGCAAAAGCATTTCTTGATCATTGAATCCTACAAGAATAGGGATTCCTTCTACTTTAGGTGTATCTGCGGTAACCCAAGGTCTTGTCAAAAATGGTTCAACATTTTCAAAGTACATTTCTGTACATGGCTTATAAAGAAAATTCAGTGCATTAGATATGTATATAACTTGATTTGGATCCACAGTTGACAAATAAGATATTGCTTCAAGCATAGAATCAGTAACAAACCCAAGCTGTGCTGCAATATCTATTGGAGCTCTTTTGGGGTGATTGGTAAATACAGTAGAAGCCAAAGAACTACCGCTTTGGAGAATGGCGTTATTGTAAAGTATCTCAGTATCAGAGAGAATGTGGAAATCAATTGAATGTGCTCCAGCACTCAAGCCAAATAGAGTGACCTTGTTGACATCTCCCCCAAATGCTTCGATGTTATCCTTGATCCATCTCAGAGCTAAGACTTGGTCTTTTAGTCCTTGATTGCCGGGCACCTCGGGGATGTCTAGACACATGAACCCATACGGTCCTAAACGGTAGTTGATAGTAACAACTATTACGTCCTGTTTAACTAAAAATTTGGCCCCATAGGTATTGCTTGTCCCTGATACGAATGCTCCGCCGTGGATCCAAACCATCACAGGAAGTAGGCTGTTTCTTGCTGTGTCTGGCACTGAGATGCTGAGGTGTAGGCAATCTAACACTCCATAGTCGTAATTTGGCTGCGCACAAATCTTCGAATTATCGTCGGCGACGAAGACGGTGTCAAATTTTGAGTAAGGAGTAGACGCCTATAAAACAAAAAATACTAGGTAAAATGTATCTTTCTTGTTACTATTTAAATTGGCAAACGTAGTTTGATAAAGAGTTAACCCTTGGAATCTGGTGGCAGTTCCATCAATAGATTTTATTAAAGACAGAATCAGAATATTTGATGAAAGAAAGCAAATACTGATCTTCGTAAACTTACCCCGAAAGGATTGCTCAAGTTTACTTGAGCATATGGGATGCCCAAAAACATATTGTAGTCTCCATCCATGGCCCTAATCCCCGAGATTGATCCCACTGGCGCGTCTACTATTATTATTTCTTCTGGTGATGTCGATGACGTAAGAAATATCACTAAGAAAATTGTCAATAATACAGCCACAACGACTAGTCCGAGCAAACCCCATCGCCACTTTTTATCCATCATAGAAAGAAAACAACTGTTCTGTTAGATAGTTTCTTTCTTCTACATGCGGTACACAATTGCTGTTCTAAAGTGTTGACAGCAAAATGATTCTTGAAATTTTAATGATCGGACAAAATTTGCAGTCCTAAGGTTCAGTGAATGAGTTAAGTGAATGAAAAAACCCGTCGTTCTAAGGAATTATGTGTTAAAATTGTAATGTTTAAGGAAACCTACTAGTTATGCAACCTATTATCTCCAATGTGGTACTAAATGCTATAATGCTTAGCTCAACGTGCTGTCGTCTATACATTATGTGGGTACAGAACCTTTTGTTTTAGTCCGATCGCTTGGCTCCTGATGGATTTTTCAAAGATAAAATTATTGATATACCTACTTCAATACGTATTATTGATAAGAATCATTATTGACGAATAAATAAGTAATATAATTGACCTCGATAAGATAAAAAATAAAAATATTTTCATCGAACAAGAACGGTTTTTACTGTAATTTAATTTGTTTATGTGGATGCAAGAGCTCAATTTCGCTTAACTATTTCCCCCCATAAAAACTTTATCACCGTTTTATCCGTTTATGGATGTTTTTAAAAAGATCCTTCCTTAGTGTTCCCATGGGAACTTATGTTTAATACTTACGCCCGTATTCACCAACGATGCTTGCTTAAGTGAAGCAGCAAATTGAACGCACAGCGTTGAATAGAGCTCTGTGATTGCTTCGTGTGTCATCCTGTGAGTCCACGGCCCACGCGCAATGTTTGTGAATACGGGCTTTAGGCTGTTAGCTGTTTGTTTTTTATCGGTCATGGCACGATTGTTGGACAATGGACAGGGTACTGTCATCCCAACTCTCGTTTCCACCACTGCAAACTACCATAACCAGCAAGACTCTTCGAGTGTTACTTATAGGTCTTTTTAACATAAAAAATCCTATGGTAGGATTTTCATTTTTATTAGATTTTTAGACACTTAAAACTATTTACAGAAAAGAAATAGTTAAACCACGCCAGTAGCTATTTACTATCACGGTTGGATCGATCAGTGAATACTTATCTTTCTTTATTGTCTACTAGCGGCCGCCCGCGACTTCGTACGCGTGTATCCCGTTTTACCCTCTTCATCTATCTTACGCAGTTTAGATTTTTTCATACAAAAGTTTTTTCCCGCTAACTCCCGTTCCCTTGGGAATTTTGCAATATCCTGTTGTAACTAAGCTTTTTGTTTACTAAAATATCTGCATGCCAAATTTCAAGCGTCTAAATTAAGCGGTTTAGATTTTTCATACAAAAGGATTTTCCCGCTAATTACCTACTGTTCCCGTGGGAATTTTGCAATATCCTGTTGTAACTAAGCTTTAAGTTTACTAAGGTACTTGCATGCCAAATTTCAAGCGTCTAACTTAAGCGGTTTAGGTTTTTCATACAAAAGGATTTTCCCGCTAATTCCCGTTCCCGTGGGTATTCCTAAGTATATTATAACCTGCCCAGGAGTACGAAGAATAATTGTACCAAGTTTCGTTAAAATCCGTCGAGTAGTTTTTGTTTCTATAAGGAACATACAGACGGACAGACAAACAGACAGACAGACAAAAATTTTACTGATTATATTTCATGTGCAGAATTGATATTTCTACAGATATATTATAAGTATAGATTATGACACATACTTACTGATGATTTGGGATAAGATTCGATGCTATTTATACAACGTATAAGTATTAAAGAGTCGTTCAAATATGTATGTATATTACGTACATAACTAATAGAGAATTTTAAATCGAAAAGTATTTTTGTTTTCAAACAAGTATTTTATCGCAATCATTACTCTGATTAATCATTTATGACGTCAACGTCCCTTAGTTTGATCATTTTAATAGATTATCGGTTAACACACGTAAACATACATACCATAATACATATCTAATAACTTACGAGTATAATAATAAAATTGAACCAGCATATTAACTTGGTCGGTCATTAAGTTACATCTTAAGATTGCTCCGATGTGAGAAATTGCTTTGCTGTTGAGTCAGGCGTTAAAATAACTGAAGCTCGGTAGAGGGAGTACTCATATAACTTGTAATAGCGTCATTATAACTAGTTTTGGATTTATTAATCAATTAAAGATTAGGTGATATTACTTACCTTACACAATCGAATTTCAAAATTGGAGCGTTAATTCTTCCTAAGTATAGGAGCAAAATCAGACTTTTTTATCGGAACGATAATGACCCTTCGTTCGTTCGTTTCGGCCAAATAACGTCCACTGCTAGACAAAGGCCGAGATTTTCCACAATGAACGGTCCTGCGCTGCCCGCATCCAGGCTCTTCCCGCGACCCTTAGATTCTCTGAAATAAAACCTAAAACAGAACCTTACAGATCGTTTTCTGCTGCTAGCTGAAGTCCATTCAAAACGGGAACTAAATTCTCCGTGAGCTGCCAGGTCATTAACTGAAATACAATTATGTGGGAATCAGGAACGGCAGAAAAGTGAAGGGTCTATCAAGGATCGCCACCATTGTTGAAATAAATGATATAATTAATTAATTAATCTACAGTCAGTACACGTAGATGATTAAACTCGTACTTATTGCTGATCTTATCCCTGTAAGGACTTAATACCTAACGTTCTTATTTGGCCAAAATATCTTTGAGTTGTGATCTACGCGTATGACTTCTAATAATTTTCAATATTCTTAGTATACGGTTACCTAGCGTATGATGGAATAGTTTTCCAATTTTCCCGTCAAGTAACATTGTATCAGCGTTCAATTCTAATGTAGATCATAGCCTTAGCATTATTTTAGCTGGTAATACCACACAATGATAATAAAACCCTTGAAAAAGAGGCTGACAATAGTGACCGATTTTCTTGCGCTGCTTCTTCTCAGCACTGGCCCATTTACTGTCCCGAAGCAGTGGTAGGGTTAATACTGGGACGTGTAGAAGTGCTTTTTGAACGCTTGTTTGCAAAAATAAATGAGTTTTATGAGTTTTTAATACAATAGAATACACGTCAAAGTCTTGAGCATGATAATCACTCGCACACGTGTTGCTATGATTTCAAAGTAAGGAGTTGTTGTTAAACAAAGGTTGGTATTAAGTTACCTCAACTTCGTACACGTGTACATCATTTTCCAGTCGGCCAAGATCTCTTTCCATATAAGACTATGTCCACCAGAAGGGTCAAGCTCATGCTTCAAAATTTACATTGCTAATTCAATTGTTCTTTAAAATAACTAAGTTTTAAAAGGTCTCTCGCCTTCGTTGAATTGCAACAACTATACCTTTAACGGTGCTACACATAGGATTTATTGAAGGCTAGTTTTACACTTTCTTCTTTCTAGTTTTAATGCGAGTCACAGTTTCACGTAGGTACTACGAGGTATTTAACTGAGGCATAGTGCTGCGATTCGAACTTTGTCCTCACTACCAGGATGTCATATTAATAATAGAAGATAATACCTTGCTCCTTAAGCTGGCTCTACACTATCGTCCAATAGCCCAACTCAGGTCTCACCAACAAGACCCACCAGTCTCCACACGTCTATGAGCCAGACGTTCCAATGTCATTCACTATGGAGGATACTATGATTGGCGTCATGGTTGTCTTTCTTTATGTTTTGTTCAAGTTCAAAAGCATAAAAAGCTTTTGACGATATATGCTATGTAGGTTTTAAAAACTTTTACTTTGTCTCCTTTTTTAGTGATTCCTTTGTGAGTTGGCCAAATCTTTTTATCTTGACCATCCACCATTAGCGCTAACTCGACCCAACAACATTAAACATAATAGTCTTTGTAGGACTATCTAGGCACGTGGAAGGTTGGACGCACAGTAGACTGTTGGACGATAGTGTGGAGCTGGCATTACACCCAACTGATGGCAAAAACAGTGGAGGTTAAGTTTATAGTGTGAGCGCAGCTTAAATCAAATTTCTCGCATAACGAGGGTGCATACTAATTGGCGCGGCAGAAGTAGAGTGAGTATAGTTTCAATGCATTTCTGCGAGCATGGTATATTTTCAGAGTAACATTTCGCATGTGTGGTTAAATCTAACTGCATTCTATTAAACTTAACTTTCTTAATGGAATTATAATATGTACTTACTAGTAGTAGAAACTTACACAAGACCAGATTGGTGAGCTTTTGGTTGGATCGGACCCCTGGCCTGTGGTGCTTTCTGATATCCAGTATTGTTTTAAAAACATTTTGCCCACGTTCAGTTAAAGATGGCATTTGGAATATATCCTACTAATATTATAAAGGCGAAAGTTTGTATGGATGTCTGGATGTTTGTTACTCTTTCACGCAAAAACTACTAAACGGATATTGTTGAAATTTTCAGTATTATTGTTTATAACCCAGATTAATATACAGTGTGAGTCACGTTAAAGTGTACATATGAAAATAGATTAAACTAGACCTATTTTTATCGACAAAAAAGAGGTCAAAAATTTTTTGAGATTTTTTTTTTATTTTTATAGAATTTTTTTTCTTCCAATTACTTATTGTAAAGAAAACGTAATAACTTTTAAACTAAGCGATATATCCTGATAAAATAAAAACAGTAATAATGTTAAATAACAGGCAATACTAAAAAAAATACATAAAATACACAAAAAAGTTCAACAAATAATAAAAAATTATACTTTTTGAAAAAAATCTGCTTTTAAATTCGTGTTTTTTTGGTTATTTGATAAATTTCTCCAAAAAATGCCCCTATAACCGGTCGTTTTTATTACTTTGTATTATTTTCTATCGTATTACCTTAGTAAAACCAAAAATCGCATGTCTCTATCCCTATCACAACATTTGCTATGATCGTTTGAACAAAGGCCTGCCACAACATTATTCTCCGCTACAGGTAGAGACAATTTTAATTTTAACTAAAATGCTTATTTTACTTCGAAATCTTTTGTTTTTATTTGAAATCTAACTTGTCTTTATCAAAATTACAAATTTAGAGCCATTTTCAGTTTCGTTGTTAACGAAGCTTTGAATGGCGCGCCCGGAGAGGCTTAGTTCAAACGATCATTGCAAACGTTGTGATAGGGATAGAGACGTGTGATTTTTGGTTTTACGAAGGTAATACAATAGAGAATAATACAAAGTAATAAAAACAACCAGTTATAGGGGCATTTTTTGGAGAAATTTATCAAATAACCAAAAAAACACGAATTTAAAAGCAGATTTTTTTCAAAAACTATCTTTTTTTATTATTTTTTTGGCCTTTTTTGTGTATTTTGTGTATTTTTTTAGTATTGCCTGTTATTTAGCATTATTACAGTTTTTATTTTATCAGGATATATCGCTTAGTTTAAAACTTATTACGTTTTCTTTACAATAAGTAATTGGAAGAAAAAAAATTCTATAAAAAATTTAAAAAAAATGTCAAAAATTTTTTGACCTCTTTTTTGTCGATAAAAATAGGTATTATTTCATCTATTTTCATATGTACACTTTAACGTGACTCACACTGTATAAGCTATAAATTTATGCCGATTTGTGACACTAAAGAAGAACGGTCATCTGTGACCCAGGCCCGACAGAAACGAGACATAAGTACCTCAGTTTTATTGTCATGTCTTAATTAGTTAAATTATATATTTTTTGTATTCGAAATCTATGTATAACACCAAAATATTACCCTTTGTTTTTGTTCAGACGTTATACAAAAACTAATACAAAATGCCTATTTATCACCAAAATTGGTAAATGTATGTACCTAAGTGTCTATTACAGCTGCTATGGAATGTATCTAGGTGACCTGAAGATACAGCCGGATTATACAGGGTGGAAACGATAAGTGATCTCACTCGATTATTTCTAAACTATACAAGATATCGAAAAACTGGTTACTGATTCTGAAAGTGCTTCACGAGCTCTTTCAAATGGTACCAATAATAGGTTACAGATTATGGAAGCTGGTAACATTGAATTTTTAGATTTTGTATCTTCTCGTTTCCACCCTGTATAATCCGGCTGTATCTCCAGGTCACCTAGATACATTCCATAGCAGCAATAATAGACATTTAGGTACATACATTTACCAATTTTGGTGATAAATAGGCATTTTGTATTAGTTTTTGTATAACGCCTGAACAAAAACAAAGGGTGTTATACATAGATTTCGAATATAAAAAATATATAATTTAACTAATTAAGACATGACAAAAAATTTAGGTATGTCTCGTTTCTGTCGGGTCTGGGTTTTTTTTTGTATGGGGCGTGACCGTTCTTCTTTCACGCGGGTAAAAACGCGGGCGTGCAAAAGCTAATTATCAATATTTTGACTCTCCGTAGGCAAAATGAATTATTGAAATCATGGCCACATGCTCAGTAGGACGAGGTCCGTTTTAGAAATAAGATACTAACATCAGCTTGCTTATACTAACATCTTATGAATCTCAGTTATCTTAATATAAAACAAACAAACTTGACCCTCACTGGTTGGGTTTTTATTGGCGGTCAAGCCGTAGATCCTGGCTACACAGGAGTTGCAGCGGTAGGAACGAGTAGTGGGAATAGTCCCGTATGTGAATTAAATACTTTCTTAAATCCAGCATGAGTCTAGGTTCGAATCCACAAGGGATACTTTTACGGAGGAAAGGAGGTTTGGATCATAAAATGTAACACAAATAAACAAAAATACCCAACAACAACATTTACTCATCGCATGTTTACAAAGCGTTATCAAAATCTAGGTAACTTAGAGAGCTCTAACTAATTGTTAAATGCTAAAAGAATAAATAAGTTCTATATTATTAAGTAAATTATTATCAATTGTTCTTCAGTTTCCTCTTGGCGATGGTTTCTTCGTCGTCTAAGCATTGGCCGTATCTCACCTCCATACATTTGCTCCCCTGTAACAAAGAGAAAGAGTTAGTAAACAAAGAAATAAATGTCACTGTCAACTATTTTATAGCCGGTTCGTAGAGCCGGTCTCTAATTGAGTGTATGAGCATGGTCATCCCCTACGTAAGTTTACCTAAGCTAATTTTATTTTCAATGTGAGCTTAAAAAATCTTGAAATATGAAATCCAGCTCAGTTGAGCTCAAAGAATGTGTATTATCATATTTTCGTATTGAACACTTAAACTATAATCTTAATTTTTATGACTACACACATAACCAATCTATGTATGGACGGAAATACTTTCTAAATATAGGCATAATTAGGTATTTAGTTTAGACGTCAATATTTATGTGTAGTGACGAAAGTTGTTGTAAAGTTTACTGACAATGTTGACATCCTCAGTGTTTGCCAAATCTGGTAAAAAGTTGACGTCATTTCCGTTCTATCCAAATTGCGTTCATTAGAACAGACCCAATGACCAACTGGGACTGACGAATTCGAATTCGAGCAAACGAACATCAGTTTTTGGTTCTTAGATAGCAGCTACTAGAGCAGTTAGGTTTATTTTTCCTTTTGCAATCTGTACTTTCAAAACGTAACTGAAACTCTGTTAAGTCAAAAATCTGAATCTGAAAGTATAGCAATCATTTTGAGGACAAACAAAATGTTTATTATGAAAATATTGTCTTTAAAAGACCGAAAACAATTCTGATCTTTTTATATCTAGATAGGTACTTAGTAAAAAAATAATTAATCTTCAGAAATATTAAAATTTGTAAATGTTTTCGAAGGCAAAGCACTGAAAAAGCTTTTGAAATCATCAATCACTATTAATTGGGGTGTCGAGACCGGGGCTTTAATTTTCATACCCATTTTCATTAAGTTAAGGAATTTTGGTCATATTATTATCTTGTTTCGGCGTGGATTACTTTTAAATAAAGGCATAGTTTTGGGATAAAAATAGACGTTCTGATCACGATTATAATATTTGATTTCTAAATTGAGATCCAGAAGATTACAGTACTTAATTAGATATTTTTAGCAAATTTAAACTCAAATAATTTTATGTCATGACTGTAAAAAATATGAAGATTCTTAGTATATCATACATAAAACGTCGGCTTAATTAACTTTGAGTTTGTAAGACTACCTACTTAATTTTATTAAGTTCCTTAAATACAAAGAAGTCCTGAAATGTTTTGACAAAATTAACAAAATGTTAATTAGTCTATTAATAAGCATACTTATGACAAGAACAAATATTTTTTGCGCCTAAGCTTTACATTAAGGACGTTTCATAAGAAATAAAAATCTGCAACATAATATATGTATATTTCTGTCTAATAATTCCTAAACAAAATTAGTTATATTTGTACCGAGAAATCGAAATTAGGCACAGATTGTATCTTGGGTGATGGATAAATTATGAAGTTAATTTAAGGACACTTAAGAAAACAGTCTTCTTAAGTCTTTGAATTGAAAACATTGAATTGCAGAATAGGTATTTGTCTGTGGCAGATACAATGTGTCCAATGAAATATTCAAACAGTGATTTAAATTATAATAATAAATTTATTTAAACTTTGTACAGCAAGAAAATTATTAATACCGCATGACGAAATAATACTTTTATGGACAAAATATCTCCACGTTTCTCTTCCACGATATAATGTTGGTGAAATGTGTGGCTTATGTCTTGTATAGCTATACAAAGCTATACAACTGGTGGTATAGCAATATCGGACAATGGATCATATCGTAGCCATCTGATTAAATTACTATCGATCCAGCATCAGTGCTTTTGTAATGACTCCATGGTCTAGTGGTAAGAGAGTTCAACTCTTTTGATCAATAAAACAACATGATAATCTGAAATAGAATGTCCGGGTTCTAGCCACATGAGTCGTACTTATAAAAAAACATATTGTATTATTTACATAACTATTGTTCTATTCGAAAGTAGAATCTATTATCTCTATAGGTCAAAGAGTTAAACTCTCTGTCCACTCGATTAAATATTGATTAGATTAATTTCTAGAGTGTGCACGAGTGCTTTTGACGTAAATCATATTTATGGTTATACTGCCCAAGTTAGAAAGAAATAAGATTACAAAAACGATTTAAAATTAATCAGATGATGTGACGATGCAGAGATGAATCTGTGTGAGCCGTGTGCTGTGTGGCCAACCTGAGGAGTTGAGGCCAAATTATTTATTTGTTTATAGGTCTAGAGTGGAATGAATGATGATGAACAAAATGCAAAGAGAAATTATGTATTTTATGAGTGATAATTACTTTTTGAAATTTTATATCACTAGTTAATGTTGTTTTGTTGGAAAGAAAGTTCAGATTCCATTAAAAGTTACGGACAATGTGTCGAAAATTGTCCAAGTGTCAAGTTAACGTTAAAAAATAATTAACCACACACATTACATGTCCCATTAGAATTGCAAATGTCGTCAGACTCAAGAAATTTGGATTTCTGACGCGGCCGTTAAAATCTCATTATATCTGTTACAGAACTATGGTCAGGTACGCAGTACAGTTGGATGAAAAAAAAATATCGACATAGGTGCTTTCCAAATTTTTTACAGTAACAACGAATTCGATATTTGAAATTTGACATTTCAAATCACTGTGAACCTAAATTACATCCAAAATAGCTACACAGATTGTAGGTAGTTTGCCTTGCTGATGCCCAATATTGGTTCATCCCCAACGCTCGCTGCCAATCATACCCAATTAGCGAAGGGTTACTTATAATAGTCACGCTGTCCTGGGACTCAAAACTAATCTTAAGTAGTTCTCCAGTTAGCCTGTTGCTAAAGCCAATTCCGATGACAAGACAGTAAAATCTAGATTCATAAATAACTGACCTATGCAAAAAATCAAGTTTAAATCCTGTTACATATTCCTAATCGCTCTTTTATGGTAAACACACGTTACACATAAAGAAAGTTGTATGTGTTACACAATTTTGTCGGTCAAAGAGAAATACAATTTATTATGTATACTTTTGGCGTGTAATATCTGACGTCACTATCCTAATTTTAGCCTGACTGAGCTGAGAGCTGACAAGCAATCCCCTGACATTGCTCAATTATATCATGCCGGCGATAGCTACGTCAGCTTAACCTACCTTCCGAAGCTTGAAACCATTCTTCTTCAAGAAATTGTTAATTAATGAATTAATTAATGGTATAGTTACAGAAATACTATGCATGTTTCACTGACAAACGCATCTTTACTGGTAGTGTAAAAATTTGCGGCCTAAAACTTGAAGCTGGAGTCGTAAATGTTTTTGTATAACATAAGATTGACCTCTATGCTGTCTGCAATAAGACGAGGTGGTTACGTTTGCCACTGTGGGCATTTTGCTTAAGATCTTTTTCATAAAAATGTCTTAAAAATGCACCACAACACATGTTTTAACCTGACTGACTAAATGCACCACAAAACATGTTTTAACTTGACTCTACATATTTTTTTTCCTTTTTTCCCATTTTTTTCCGTCAGTCAATTTTACTTCCTATTTTACCTGACTTACTGTACACATATGCACCTGACTGTACGTTTAAGAGCTATGAAAGCAGATTCGAATAACGGAACTAGCCACAGCGATTACGTAAGTCACTTTCACTCGGAACTTAGTTGCGTAAGATCAGCTGTTGTTGATTAATACGAGATCATTATTATGTGCGATTGTGGCTTTTTGCATAACTGTGGCTAAATTTTGCACGGTAATTAAGTAACTGCTCGAATTAAGTGGTACAGTTCGTGCCATAAACACAGTTTCGTTTTTAAATGTGAATGTGTTCTCGGAGCAATTGTGGTATGTCGACAAGTCTTCTATAAATATATAAAACACAAAGGTGACTGACTGACTGACTGACTGACTGACATAGTGATCTATCAACGCACAGCCCAAACCACTAGACGGATCGGGTTATTATTTGGCGTACAGGTAGATGTTATGACGTAGGCATCCGCTAAGAAAGGATTTTACGAAACTAAGGGTGTAAAACGGGATCCACGCGTATGAAGTCGCGGGCGGCCGCTAGTTGCGTACATAAATAAATGGCAAGTTTGCAAACAAATAAAGCCGGATAACATTGATACGGAATTATCTACACAAAATGTTTCTTAGACTACGAACTTCCGGTTCTTTTGAGTTTCAATGATGAAGAGATCAATGAAACTGATGACTTTTCATTTTGTTACATTTGTATCGTTACTATTTACAGAAAAGTTCAAAGTCTGTTGTCGGGGGCTTTGGTTTATTAATTCGATATCGAGAGAAATAAACAAAAAGTAAATATTTTTCTATTTGCCTCAACTTGAGACGCTTTTCCGAGAAAGGGTTTACTTTAACCTCTAAAATATTAATGAAATAATTTGGTAACTTACAAACGTCAATATTTACGAACAAAACAGACAATTTTAGTAACAATACTGTGTTAATAATAGCTAGGTAATTGGTAATATATTAAATTGATTGTAAAAGGTCATTGAAAAGTTTATTTTTTTAACAAAAAATAAAATCATTACAAGCGAAAATAAAGATACACGAAATTGGTATTACGAGTAGGTACCTATTGTCTAAAAAACGTTAACATTTACCGACTTAATACATTATGTTTAGTATCAATACCGTGTTTATTAGTTTAAACTAACTGACAAAATAATGAAATTGATTATGACGTCCATTGAGAAGTTTCTATTTTAACTAAAATGTAAGTAATTACAGGATAGTTAAAATCTTTCGGTCAAAATATCAAAATACATCACGATTTTATAAACGAACTTATTGTTTTGATTTCCATTTATCCTGTTTAATAAATTCCATGCATTTATAATCCATTTCAATCAAAAGTCGAAATTTTTGAAGTGTTTTGTTGAAATGTTTCCCGTAGGAATTTCATGATTTAGAGATGGTTTTTAAACCTCGTACCTATACATTTTAAACAGAACAACAATGTTAACTTTTCGTTTTGTTTTCTGAACGATGTCAAAACAATCGAACTTATTTTGTGCTGCGTGCATTATTTAATTTTCAACCGACTTCAAAAAAGGAGGAGGTTCTCAATTCGACCCGTATGTTTTTTTTGCTATGTAATAATTAAAAGTAGGAATATACTTTGACATATTGTTTTATTCACAGATACACATTTTATTCACAAACAGATGTCATCGACACAAACACAAAAATTCATTAAGCTCCAAAAACCGGTCATTGAAAAATGGGCTCATAATATGAGCTGCGCCCATCACTACTAGTGTCAAGTCGGGTGCTTTCTAGCATTCATCATGGCGGCATTAGTATACATTAGCATAAAAGCGTATGTTTAATAATTAATTTACACCGCTCATTAAATCAATATACTTTATCTTATCAACTAACTTCGACCAAAGTCTTTGCGCCGTGAGCGTAGTAACCTCAATGCAAATGTTGTACTATTACAACTTTTCACAAATTATGTAAACTCATCTAATTTAAATAATTCCGAACACATCTGTATTAATATTATAAATTCTGGCTATGTCCTAGTTACTTTTCAAACTAATACCGCTGATATGTTTTGGCAGAAAAATTAACTGATTGGTTTAGTTTAAAAAAGAAGAGGTGAAATAACAGTTATTTTAAGGAGAAACCACAATTTTATAACATAACGATGTGCATTAAATTTAGAGGTAAGCAATTGTGTTTTAAAATTCTTGAAAAACTATTTTGACCGAGAAATGGGCGATAAAGAAAAAGTTTTTTGATAGACTATGATTTCAAAACCTTACTTAAACAATCTGAAACAACAAAACAAGTTGCTAATGAAATGAGTTATGGAATGAATCTTGTTAGGTTAACAAAGTTCTAGAAGGGTTACTTTTGCAAATTGGATTAGGTCTTTTTCTGGTTTATCTTGCTCTTCAAAGGCAGTAAAAAATTTACCAAAGCCTTTGTGGTCAAATAGCTTCGGACTTGGATTTGGACTTTCTAGATTCGATTTCAGGCAAATCCTATAAATGTTAATACTATTTGTGCGTTTTTTATTTTTCTCAGTTTAGTTATTGGAGGTTTGAGTCAACCTGACAGTCCGATAGAAATATGATTCCATGCATCTATTTTTCGATTAGTAGTGTACTTCAATTCGACCCACGCACACATTAAAAAGCTCTTACAAAATATTCCCCACAGTAAAAGCGCTGAAAAAACCTATTAAAGCAACCACTCGCGTTTTGTTTTTATGCAATTACTCGTATTATTAAGGTTTAGATTTTTTGTTGGTATGAAGCTATATAATTCCAGAGCAAAAAGTGGGTCTGTTGTCCCGGGTCCACTAAACCACTGATGTGCGAGTGACCTGTGACAAACCGAACCCGCCGGGACTGATCCGGGGGTTTAGCAAAAAGTGGACAATCGTTTTTGTTACGTGTAATCCTTTCAATTACTTGGGTTACTATTTACCTACAGACCCAGTGAATATCGTAGGTAAATTAAGCGTTCGGCGTATAAAGCGTAAAAGCTTAGATTAATTTGGGACTATTTAATTGTCATGTTTAAAAAATGCGTGAAAGATACGGAATAGAGGAGCTTTAACTTTAAGTTATACTCGTAGTTTAGTTTAAATTATCAACTAAATCATTCACGTACATTTCTGACTTTTTATGAAATCATTTTGTCTTTGTCTACAGGTACAGGAACGGCACAGGAGTCTTCATTACTTTTATAGAATGGTACGAGAACTCGAATCAACTAGCTGTTATGATATGAGTAAGTGACGCATTTTTATCTCTTGTTTGACATCTGGCTGTTTTGTAGGAAAATTTCTAAGGTATACATTGCTACGTGGTCTGGTGTGAGACCACGTAGAAGTTCGGGCATTCACCGGCATGTGTAACAAAGTAAAAATCCGTATTTTACGAATATACAATGCGAATTGTAGATCTTTAACCTCCACCCTTCTTGTTATCCCTTTGACAGTGTAACTCAAAAGCTTATTCCCTTAAGTCTTAGATCAAATTTCGTCTCTACATCCCCTTTTACAACAAAGGAGTGGTATTGCAAGAAAATATCAAACAATATAATATTATAAACAACGATATTAATAATTAAAATTGCAGCTTCAAAGGATACAAAATAAGACTCATTTCAAAGGATCCAAAATAAGATTTAAGTTTTCGAATAAGTTTGGATTTCCTGAAAATTACATTAAAGTAATCGGTGAAAATTAATCATTATAATTAAACGATAAAAGTGTTATGTTTAATTTAATAACCTACGAAAGCAAACTTCTGAGGTGATTTTAAGACGGCTAGATAACGGAAAAATATCATTCAATCTTAGATCATTACTTTTTTTTTTTTTTTTTTTTTTTTTTTATTATGAGTTCTGCAACTTGGCAATCTGTGTTAACACAATAAGCCATTCAGATGAGGTATCTTGATCTTGTCTTGACAGCAGAAGGAATTCCTATGAATCCCTTTCATCTGGTTTCCCCAAATCTCACTGCAAGTGTGGGGACACTATGCCGTTTCAATCTGGAGTGTGTGATACTTCCTGTGCCCACCAGTTTCGATGCCAGTTCATTGACGTGGGTTGATATTCTCGTCTGATAGCTTTCGCTGTATTTAGCGATCTCTTTTTTGACGGTGTCGAGCTTCAGGTCCTCGTGTATATATTTGTTGCTCACGTAGTAGGGTATGTCTAGCATGGCTCTCAATGTCTTGCTTTGAAATCTTTCGAGAATCTCTATGTTGCTATTGCTAGCAGAACCCCACAGCTGGATTCCGTAAGTCCAGATTGGCTTAAGGATGGTCTTGTAGATAGCTATTTTGCTTTCATGTGAGAGGTTCGATTTGCGGCCTATCAACCAGCACATTGATCTGACTTTCATATCCAGCTGTTTACGCTTGGTCCAGATATGCTTTCTCCAGGTGAGTCTTCTATCAAGATGCATACCCAAATATCTGGCATCTTCGGCCTGAGGAATTTCCTCGTTATAGAGTTTTATTGGGGGACAAGTCTGCCTTCTCAGGGTGAAGGTCACATGGACAGATTTTCCTTGATTGACCTTAATACGCCATTTATCCAGCCATTCCTCCACCTTATGGATGTGGGTTTGTATGTTGGCTGACGCCGTGCCGGGATCCTCGTGAACTGACAGAAGGGCTGTGTCATCTGCATAGGTGGCAGTTATGGTATCAGCATATGTAGGAAGATCCGCGGTAAAAAGCAAGTACAGGACTGGTCCCAATATACTCCCTTGTGGTACTCCTGAGAGTAGATCATTACTACGCGAAAATAAATAATACTTCACGACTCAATATGCTTTGAACAGAATATCATACATTCATTAAATCTTCCTGCGTGCAGTTCTTTGGGCACGCAGGACACGGGCCTTTATATCTATTAACCCATTTGTTACGGAATTCACTTTTTCTATCACTTACCTTAAATCAGTCATGATACATTTATCTCAAAACAATCGCTCCAAAACTTTATAGTTATTTACGTCAGTGTACTTATAAGACTTGGACAGTACTGCGACACACCTCATCTTTCAAATGTTGCACATAAAAATTGGTTACACTACCCACATTAGTAATTATATTTATGACAAAGTGGTGCGCCTTTTAAAAGAACGCTAGTAACAAGTGGGTACAGCCATTCCTCACTCACCTTAGCAATATACGCCTTCATGTAGAAGTTTCCGAAGAGGATGATGAAGGAGATCATGTAGATGATGAGCACGTAGTGCATCCACAGCGGGAACTCGCAGCCGGTCCGGATGCCGTTGATGCCGAGGACCAGGGCGCAGGTGAACTGAATCTGGAAGTGAATTAAACATTTGTTTTGATTGAAAGAAATAAATAAATGATAAATAAATATCCTTGGACATTTTTACCCGACTGCGGCAAAGCAAAAGGAGGGTTATGATTTTGACAGGCTATGTAGGATGTATGTATGTATGTATGTTCATGTGTTCCCTCGTAACTTCTAAACTACTTATCAGAATTCGACAAATGACATATCATTAGAAGCGTCTTAATTGTCCGCTGGTTATAGGCTATGGGTACTAGACAACGGATATAAACATACTTAAATACTTTTTTTTTGTAAATACATACATATTATACATAGAAAACACCCAGTCAAACAAATATGTTCATGCACACAAATGTTTGTACTGTGCGGGAATCGAACCCGCAACCTCCGGAATAGTAGTCCGTTTCGAACCACTACACCAAACGGCCGACGAAACACAATCATTTTTACAGAAAGAAAGAAAAACCTTTTTTTTTTGTTCTAACGCAAATAAAAAATTACAATTGCACAGTTGGATTATAGGGAGTTAGAGCCAAAAGGCTACCGCTCAGCATGTGTCATGCTCGGAGGTAGTAGAACCCAGAACATGACGCTGTTATTCTGCGAATGCCATTGTTGGAGAGAGCGGTAGCAATAGAGGCCATAAAGCAGTAAAATATTCAGATAATGTAAATGAAACAACACACAAAAATACAAACAAATGATTGCTTTGGTTTTTTAAAAAGTCCCTTTAACCCCTCGTGGTAAAACTGTAAAATGATTGTGTTACGAGCAGATTCATTACACTAATCCAGCGTAGGTAGTGTTCGAACACGCGTTCCTCGGTTCTCGATTCGGCCAGTCCGACACCGAAGCCACTGGGCTTACTACTCGTAGGCTTTTGCTTCAAATATGTAGATAGGTGCTAGCTTTTGCCCGTGGCTTCGCCCACGTGAAATTTAGTTTGTCATAGATCCTCACAAACTATCACATTTATATTAATGGGTCATTTGACACCGTTTCTGAAGAATAAATATGTCTCTGGTTGTAACAGGTTTATTTTGTAACTAAATTGGAAAGCTAATTGTGATTTTACTCAAGAACATAGTTCATCATTTATTTTCAGGATAAAATAATAAAGAATTAAATTGTCCTCATTAAGATCTTGTCCAGGTACAATGTCTGATTATTCATATCTGACCTTTCTTTAAACATTCAAATTATTGTACAGTCTAGAAATCCTCAAATTCAACATACCTCAATCGTTTTCTCATCGGAATCCAAAAGCTCAGCGGATCAATTCAACGTGTAATCAATAACTGCCTCGCAATTATCTATCCAAGACGTAACGTGATACGTGTTATCTTTACGTTACGCGGCCACTGGCTCAAACCGGTTTCAAAGTTGAGAGAAATCTCTCAATGAATTAATTGCAGGTGTAAAATAATCCAGATACAAAACGATAGAGGTTAACAGTTTAATCGATACTTACAAAGGTTAATATGGTAAGATTATAATTAAAAACGTATCATTATAATGATGATCATTGAATTAAGATTCGTTTAGATTTGATTTAAAACTTTTCGAGTGATAATCGAACACGCAAACAATCAATAACTTTAAGTTTTGAATTATGTCCCAGTGTCAAGATAATAATTTATTCGAATTAATATAACATGTTTGTTTGAATTTGAATTAATTAAATGTATGCAGATGTTTAAATTAACGGTGGTCACTGGGTGATTAATAAAATTGAATAGTGACATCGGAAAGCGTGAGGTAGCGTAACGTTTTTGACAGCTGCTAGTTAGTTTGAAAGCTGCTCTGCGCTGCGCCTCGTATTACGCCAAGTTAGGGCCCTCGCTCACGGCGACAGCATCGCTACTAACGCGCGTTAGTCGCATTTGCAACGCACTACAGAAGTGATGCCAACGCGCTACTAACGCACTACAGCAGCGCGACTGCATCGCTACAAAAAGTCGTCGTGGGCGAGGGCCCTTAGATTACTACTCCAAGTAAGGTTGAGTAGTTAGTCTTCATTGAAGTAGAGACTTCAAAATATTGTTGGCGCATCGAGAAGGACCGAGAAAATTAATAAAAGGTGTTAAGTAGGTATACGAAACGGGACTAACCACACCTTTTCGTCCCAATACTGTACAGCCAGTTTCTTTAGTTTGGCCTACCAAATTAAACAAGAAAGTGTTGTAAAGATTTTTTGTTATGTAGGAATCTGTCTATGATTAATGTTTATTTACAAATTAAGACTTTCTTTGTAAAAATTAACATGTGTCACGCCGCTCAGTGTTAAAGGTAATACAGCTATTTACATTTTAGTCAAATATTTCACTTTACCTCCATACTTTAAAACCAAATGCATTAATCATAATGTTTACGTAGAGTTGAGATTCAAAATACAACCTGAAACTTAAGTGATTCAAATTGCATCACTTCAAGAACAGGTTGCATCTCTAGTTACAACCTGATCTTAATTAGTCGACCAAATCTTATTCAGGAATGCTAACTCGGTCAAATCTTCAAACCAGTTTCAGAGTAGTAGCACTAACAAGAAAAGTTACATAATGGTGCACTTTCATTGACAAATCTACACTATTTTCGCTTAAAGTGGCAACTACGTTCACAAAATTAGTATCACATAGGCATATTTAAATTCATATTTCTATGGCGTATTCGCCAATTAAATAACATTAGATTTGAGCGTGAACTTTCTCCAAACTTTCAGATTACGCGACTGCCCAAAACGAATACTATTATCGCAGTTCGTTCTGAACCGCAAAATGGCTGTTTTTTATAGACGATTACGTTGGATTGCAGTTTCTCTTAAATTTCTTTCGTCTGTAACACCCACGCACGTAACCTAAGGTCTACTTATGTTATTTTTGCGTATACTGAGTGACCTATTGGTTGGTGAATAAACAAAAAGATTGATTCTACTATTCAAACGAAACAGATTTCTCCAAGAGAATGAAGTTCAAATCTTGCAAAAAAACTTTTTATATAGAAATTGTAATCCAAATATGGGGGCGTCAATATACCTATGTATTTTTTTTATATTGTTCCTTTAGGAAAGTTGTAACATTTGAGCAGTAGAATCAAACCTTTTTTTGATGACCCCAATGTGTCACTCTGTATGTGTATACTTTAAGCCGCGTTTTCACTAGGAGACATTTGTCCCGCGACTCTGTCGCCCGACACGAAATCCACGTGTCCCGCGCGATGTCGCCCGACGTCGCTTGTCGATGCTCTGCGAGCGTCGACATGCGCGATCTTCGTGTCCCTCAACAGTCGCCCGACAGCCTTTGAGTAGTGAGAATGCGTGTCGCTTTGTGTCGACAAAGCGACACGCGTCATACGCGACCTCGGGCGACATACTGTTCACTACTGGCTAGTGTGAACAAGTCATAATATGTCGAGGGACAAAGTTGCAGAGACAAACTACGTGAATGTCGGACGACTTATCTCCGCGATATGTCCCCTAGTGAAAACGTGGCTTTACTCAAGACGTAGGTAAAGTCAAAGGTCTGCGCTCCCACGTAGGTATCGAGTGATGTCGTCCCTGAGATGGGTCTTTAATAAAGATGACCGCTGACAGGCCACGGAACCAACGTTAGGGCTTGTCAGTCACAAAGTCAACACGACAGCAAGACGTGGGTAGGAAAAACATCTAAGAGTATATTTTCCCATCCCAATAGTTCGAAAAAGGAGTTTTGACACTGAGCTGGTAAAATGACATACATTTTCGACATTGGAGTAGTACCTAGGTACATTGTAAATAATAGTAATATACCTACCACCTAACTATTACTGCCTTCTTTTTAAGTATATAGAAATTATTATATTATTAAAGTTCTACTCGTAAAATAGAATCAAAAATTCGGCAATCATAATGCGAATTGAAATTCGAAAGCTTTAAATATACAGACCTTACTCAATCTACAGACCAAGGCGCTCTATATACGGCATTTTTTTCATTTGACGACTTTTCCCTCCTCCTACGTCGGAGGCAAGGATGAATAGGCGCTTATAGGGCATGTATGCAATGTAGCATCTATTCTACCCACAAGATGGACCGACGACCTTATAAAGGTACGTAGCAGAAAAGCGCTGGATGCAGATCATTATGGAAATCATTGTGGGATGCCTGTGTTCAACAGTGGACGTCCTATGGCTGATAATAATATGATGATGATTATGATGTAGCATCCTAGACTGCATCTCACTTAACATCAGGTGCGACTGCAGTCAATACCTACTGCACAAAACAACGTCGCTCTACAAACGACTTGACGAAGACTTACCAGCTGCATGATCGTGAGGTACTTCTTCCACCAGAGGTACTTGCTGACAGTGGGCCCGAAGACTGACAGGCCGTAGTAAGTGTACATCAGCACGTGGATCCCACTGTTCACCATAGCGGGCAGGAATGCTGTGAAAATGAAATGTTGTTAGAAAACTGCATATCTATCTAAATCTATACAGGGTGTTAGGTAAATGGGTATATGAGCCGACACTAGCCCATGTTAACATGGTCATATAAATGGTATGGTGAAGTCAGAAAATAGATATCATCATTTTAATTATTTTAATTTTCATACAAATCCGATTTTATAAAATTTATTTTGTATAAAAATTAAAAAAAATAAAATGATGATATCCAATTTCTGACTTCACCATACCATTTATATTATGACCATGTTAACATGGGCTAGTGTCGGCTCATATACCCATTTACCTAACACCCTGTATAAGCAAAAGGTCACTGACGGACTGACTCACTCATCACGAAATCTCAGAAACTACAAGTGCTAGGAGTCTCGAATTTTGTATGGGGTTGGGGGTTCTTTTTAGAACGTAGGTGCTCACTAGGACGGGATTTTGAAAAATTCTACCCCTAAGGGGGTCAAACGGGGTTCACGCGTACGAAGTCACGGGATGCCGCTAGTTATCCTATAGATCTGTTGCAAATTCGCCACAATTATGATTGGATAAGATGCTACAGTGTTTTGCTTGATGTGGCGACGTCCAAATTGGTGTCATCGAAGACAAAAAGGCTGTATTTTGAAGGGTGTCGTACCATAATAAGACAGGCGAAGCATTTAGCAACTTTTCTGGTGTCGCAGATGGTATTATGGTGATTGCTTGCCATTGCGTTACCGATAAGCCCGTTTTCGCGTCTTGTAGTAGGTACGAGAATAATGTAGAAGTCGTTAATACATGTTATATCCGCAAGTGTTATATTCTTTGAGACCTAAACGACCACCAAACGAAAAACGAACCACTTTACAGATAAATATTATATTATCGTCTTGAATTCGTAAGAAATCGTACTTAGACTGAATAAAAATTGCTTCTTCAAACTAGATTTTTTTTAAGCTCTAATATTACATAACAGTTACTATGTAAATGAAGCTTAGGTTTTTAAACAAAAAAAGCCCTTAAAAATGGTCTCTCATTAGTTTGGAAATTTGAACACGCCTCTCATGTTTTGAATATTAACAGATTGTTCATTAAAATTCTGAAAACATCTGTTACGATTCAACAACCAAAGGCCTAGTGTATTTGAGAGACTTAAGTTTAAATTCAAAGGACATTTAAATTAAATTATACAAAACTCAACTCTTTTTTAAATACATATAAAATTGATAATAATTATGAACCAAGATAAAACTTTAATACCATCAAAAATTACTTCACTTAATTAATTAATCCTATTTAAGATCGTGATTAACTTTATAAAGCATAATAATCTAGTTAAAGTATTTCTAATATTTACATTGTTACTTGTATAAACTTTCTCAGTATAATTTAATTTTACCTTGACCTTCATGCAATAGTTTATCAATATTCTCATCTAGGTACTTATAAAATAAAGAGGCAAAGTAATTAATCCTAATCTCACTTTAAATATTTTCATTCGACGTGATAATACCAAAAAATGACATAGATTAAAATTGAATAATTAAGGAAATCATTGTATTTAATAAGCACCAAAGATTTAATTCAAAAAGTCTGAAATTATCCAATTACATTTTAAAATAATGAATATTCAATTAAATCTCCGAGTATTTTAGTTATTAATTCAAGCAGATTAATTTTCCTTTTCAGAGATCAAAATGTATTTAAATTTTCCTTCATTGCATTTAATTAAATCAGTACGATTAATTACAGCGTTTATCCTTTTACTCGTGTTGCACATGAATTAACACAGATTGTTCCAGGCACAGTTAAAATTGTTGCCAGTCCAATTGTGTATAACTACTTATAATTGGACTAAATGATTTGACTCTGAAGCTGAAATATCAGCTTCATCATTTTAAAACCACCGATAGTCGAGTTCAAAGAATCAAGGTGGTATTGAATTTGTCAACACTAGCGTAAACTGAGTAGGCACGGGCCAACGTAGGTCGGGAAGCAAATAAAATATTGCCATACATTACAGGCAGAATGGTAGCTTGGTGATTATAAAATAAGTAAAAAATACATGAAATTTCGCACATCACAACTATTCATGACCACAAATAATATCTGAACTAGAATGTTAAATCATAAAAGTCATTTATATTTTGCAAATAGCCTTTTATAAAGTCACTTTCAAGCATTTTTTCACGTCCCAGTAACCCTGCCACTGCTTCGTGGCAATAAATGGGCTAGTCAGTGCTGAGCGTTTTTCGGAAAAATATGAGCTTTTATATTTGCATACGTAGTATTATGGCACTTGATGTGCGTGCATAGCATATGTACAATGATTATGACAATTTTAACAGCCCATTCATTCTGATTCAAACCACTATATCTGAAGAGCACCAGAGCACAACGCATAGTATCAAAATAAGGCCAAGCAAAGCCCGGCTGTTAAATTCTTGAAAATATTCTGCTATTGTCAGGATAATGATTTGGAAAATTCGGATTTTGACGGAATTTTTCCTGGTGCTGGTAACTTTTGCTACAGAAGTTTTATAAGTATTCGTCGACTCTTCCTTTCATCATAATTATCTAGATTATATGTAGAAGACCATATTTTTTTGTAAACTTTTATTTGAAATGTAAACTTACTTGATCCACTTGGCACCCATTTGATCCCAATCCACCAGAACGAGAACATAGTGGAGTGGTGGTATACATGGAGGAACGTCAACTGCTCATCCTTCTTTCGTAGGATGAAGAAGAACGTATCGCAGAACTCTAGAAGCTTCGAGAAGTAGTACCACCATACTGCATCTGCTATCTGAAAGTAAAAATACATTATGAACACGATAGAATAACCTTGAAAATGAAAAATCATTTAGATATAAGTATTAGGCAATCAAAATACTTAGGACTTAGTTTTATTAGGTATTGCTTTCTTTTGAAAGTATATTATTACAAAGCCTCTTTGACTTTGCGTTTGCTATGAGATGAATTTTGTTTTATATTACTTTCTTCAAAGGACGCTTGTCGCTAATGATTCAAACAGACTCTTTTTCGACTTGTTCCTATAGAGACAAGCTCTAGGTCTTTATACTGTCTCTTTACAAAGATTTTATTAGCTTTTAGTTCCATTTACCTGATTTTTCTATTGCTCATATTACGAAGCTCCTTTAAAATATATGTTTGATGAGCTATTATGGTCTGTATGAAACTATGTTTTATATTCCAGTTTCTCTATCAGTTTCTTAGAAATATTTGTACGTTATAAAAAGCACCTTTGCGTATTTAATTTAGGCTCTATTATACCATAGGAAAGAAAGTGCGCAATATATTTTAGCCTAGTAAGAAATAATTATTATAAGTCATATTATTCAAAACAAACTATTAAAAACTTGAAAAATCGAACTCCCTAAAGCGGGAACTGTCCAAAGCGTATTTACACTTGAAAATTTTGACTAGCACATCCAGTGTCTAAGAAGCTCAGATGGAAGAGCAGTCACCCGGCAAGCGAAAGGTCGTGGGTTCGATTCCCGCCTTAGGCAGTTTGATTTTTTCAAGTTATTTATAATTTAGTTAAAAATAGTTTTTACCTGTAATTCATCAGAATCGTATTTCTGCCGGCACGGCTCGCAAATGTAGCTGTACCTCAGCCTAAAAGACGCTGTTAGTAGGCGAACAGCGATGTAGGCGTTTAGGCCAGCCATCGCCAGGTTGTACGGGACCAGTAGCCAGGTCAGCTTGAACGGCTGTCGGTTCTTCATGATCTTCGGGCCTATCCACACGATGAAGAGGTAGAGGAGTGTGTAGAATACTGTGGGTAGGGGTGAGTCTACGAGTGGCCATCCTTTCGTTCTGTTATCTGTAACAATGAGTATACATTTTTTTAGCAGTCTAGGATGGTACATATCTGCTCTGTAAGTGCCTATTCACTCTCGCCTTGAAAAGGCCCGGATTATAAGCCTTCGGGAAAGACAGCAGCAGGCAGCGAATTCCAGTCCCTAGCTATTCGATTAGGTTATTAACATGTTAGGTTTTTGAAGAATAGAATAGAATAGTTTTTATTTGAAAGAAAGGTATTCAAGCACACATGAAGAAAGAAAGAGATACACAAGTGGACAGATAGCTGCTTGTGCCCCTCTGACAAAAGCATACATCAAGACCGCGCCAGGGCTCGTCTCGAAACTGATTTTCATTTGAAGTGATTTCTGATGAAGACGTTGTTAAAGTTAAATTACGAGCTAGAGGTTTAAATTTATGTTAAATTACTTGTCCCAAGAGATATCAATGACTGGCAAACAACTCGTTGTGGCTGTAATAATAGTTTGAATCAATACACGTCAATAACAATTAAATGGAAGAGAGTTGTAATTAACACTGGGAGCACTGGAAATTATTGAGGCTTCAAAGTTCAGTCGATTGTCATTGAAATACAAGGCCTTCATTAAGAAAGTTGTAAATACATACATAGAATATGACACTGGTGTCAAATTTATTACTACAAGTGCTTACGAGCTGCCATTTATGATGGTTTGTGTAAGTATTAACACTGATTTAGTATAATTATGCTCTTGAGGAGGAGCCTGACTCTCGTTACACAGGTTAACTTTTTACGAGAGCAGCACATAAAATATTTTGTAATTTAAAAGTGTTTATTATTCAATAAAAATATTTTCATTTTCATTTTGACATTCTAATGCAGTCAGTCGACACAGCAAAATCGCCAACGCGCCGACATGGGTCGTCGACTTTTGACATGTTTTCAAAAGTCATAAAAAGAACAAATCTTGACATGATTCTTTAAAAATAAAGCAGCCGACATCAAATCGGGCTATCGGCGGGCTTGGTGTGTAGAGTCCTTAATATAGACAATATCTGAATGTTCATAGACAATTTCATAAAGCTCTAGGTCACTGACGTATCGCGATCCTTTGGTTTCTTCGTTCGTTTCAGCCAAATGACGTCCACTGCTGGACAAAGGCCTCCCCCAAGGTTTTCATCCAGGTTCTTCCCGCGACCATTACCAGATCGTCGCGTTCCTTTAATTTTGCGCATTTCCTTAGGGAAATAATCGTGTTCGTCGAAATTGCTTGTCTAGCCGTACTAGTATTTTTAGAAATAAGTAGTGCTTTAATATTCGTCCTTAATTTATTCTTACTATAATTTACTTAGTTTTCTTTCTAGTAATGCGTCTCTCTTCTGCGACTCGGGAGAATCAAACTTTGTTGCGAGGTAGGCAGTTCTAACAGGACGGTCTTTTTCCATCTATACTTATAATAAATCTGTAGAGAGGTCAATTCTGTACATGAAATATATTTTCAAAATAACCATCAGGGGTGATTAGTGATCGATACTGATGCCAAAAATGCAATCAGTAAAATTTTTGTCTGTCTGTCTGTCTGTCTGTATGTTCCTTATAGAAACAAAAACTACTCGACGGATTTTAACGAAACTTGGTACAATTATTCTTCATACTCCTGGGCAGGTTATAGGATACTTAGGAATTCCCACGGGAACGGGCATTAGCGGGAAAATCCTTTTGTATGAAAAATCTAAACCGCTTAAGTTAGACGCTTGAAATTTAGCAAGGAGGTACCTTAGTAAACTTAAAGCTTAGTTATAACAGGATATTGCAAAATTCTCACGGGAACGGGAGTTAGCGAGATAAAACATTTGTATGAAAAAATCTAAACCGCGTAAGTTAGACGCTTAAAATTTGGCATGCAGGTACCTTAGTAAACTTAAAGCTTAGTTACAACAGGATATTGCAAAATTCCCACGGGAACTGGAATTAGCGGGAAATTCCTTTTGTATGACTGACTCACTGACATACCCACGCACAGCCTAAACGGCTAAACATAGGCACTTGAAATTTTTAAGGGACGTAGCTTAGGTACCGTAGAGGTGCACTAAGAAAGGAATTCCCGAAATTCCCACAGGAACAGGAATTACCGGGAAAATCCTTTTGTATGAAAAATCTAAACCGCTTAAGTTAGATGCTTGAAATTTGGCATGCAGGTCCCTTAGTAAACTTAAAACTTAGTTACAACAGGATATTGCGAAATTCCAACGGGAACGGGAGTTAGCGGGAAAAAACATTTGTATGAAAAAATCTAAACCGCGTAAGACAGATGAAGGGGGTAAAACGGGATCCACGCGTACGAAGTCGCGGGCGGCCGCTAGTAGTCTAATATATTTCGAGCAGCTAGACTTGCTTGATCTTAGGTTAATGTCCCGTGAGTAATACATAAATGATCCTTATTTTTTATTCCTAGACGGCTAGACTTTTAAAAATAAACTAGGATTATTTTAGAAATGATAAGCCTAAGTATACCTACATCCATTAACGTAACGACCTGACCCGACATCGGCGTTTAGGTACTTAAATAAAAATAAAACGTTTTTACTATAAATAAACCATTTTCATAATATCTTATTTATCTTGCATATACGATAATCTCCTTAGCTTCAACACAAGATGTTTTTCATTACTTTTCGATACTTTCACAACGCAAAAAAATACTTACGAGTACCTACCTAATACCGATCTCATTGAAAAATTTAGAATAAAAATATGAGGCGCAAAAGGCTTTTTCGTAAGGCCGCCTGTCTACCGGAGCGGAGCGAAGTAAGAGTAATGCGGAGCCAAGTTATGGACTTTGTCAATAGACGTAGAGCTACCGTAAATAGCAGGGCGAAGATTTTTTGTATGCACAACGAGGAAGCTCTTGGCCTGTATCTCACCTGATATGGACTGCGCTTTTTCTATACGGGGAGCTAGTCGCGACTGGTCATTTATATTCGCTCCTAGTTTTGGATTTTTAAGTCGCTCACCACTCTATCATTTCGCTCCGCTATAAGTAGTGGACAGGCAGCCTAAGTCTTTGAATCTATTGTGAGTACTGTAAATACTTTAATGTAAAATTTGGCGAGTGTTTGAATATCTCCAAAAATAATAGATATATTCCTTTTTTAAAAGAAAATAGATGCACTTACCTGAAAGTGATAATGTCCATAGGTAATAATCGTATGTTTCTTTTAACACACTTTGCGTTGAATTCACTATAATATCCGCCATTTTTATTACAATTTGTTATACTAGTACCTGAAACAAAACAAAGATTGTAAATAAAACATGAAATAACATAAATATTTCACTTCGCAAAAGGAATACGTAGGATTCCAACCTTTTGTTGAATTTGCAAAACCCTTTGGCGCCCAAGACAAATCACAAAAGAGCAGGCACAAGGATGAATTATTGTAGTACAGTTTGAGTAAATTGTCTTGAACGTAGTGGCTCAGATTAGGTTCCTTTTCGAGTCAGTTTTTAAAAAGTACATTATTTTTTTTAAAACGAATCTAGCTCTGGAGTTTAGTTTGCTATTTAGTTCCTTACATTGTGTATTCATCATCATCATCATTTCAGCTATAGGACGTCCACAGTCACTGCTGAACATAGGCCTCCCCCAATGATTTCCACAATGGCCTTATTATTGTGTATTAGCTACATTGATATAATATTCTTACGGATCAAGACAATAGTTACTGTACAAGTAATGAGATATTCTTCCTAGGTATAAAACTACAATGTAAAAGTAATTACATTTTTAACGACGTTGATCATAATTTGTAGCTTGAGTAATCACAATCAATGATGTTAAAATTTTCCTGTAATAATCTTAATAGGAGATGGGAAATAACTCCACAAACTTATCACTGTAATAGAAATCTTGCGTGAGCTCATCTAAATTATGTTATTAGGAAGAAGATACATATTATTATGCATCATTTTATAATACTTTTTAGGTACAGTGAAACATTTTTGTTGGAAAATTGCACCTGTTATAACTAAATTAAATGCTAATGTTTAATTTGTTAAGCCGTTATTGTGGAATAAACAATTAAAACAAAATCTCAAATGGATCTGTCCATTCAACCCGCATCGCGATGTTATTACACGCCACTCAACAATTTGCAAATTCTAATAATCAGTTTGAATGAAACTAAACTATAATTAACTATACCAGATTAAAATATTAAAATTCGGGTTTGTTATTCTGGCCTCTCTCGAGTTAAGACAAAATTGCGCCATGGTACAACAAAATGGAAGAGTTTCATTGCTGTTTTCATTTTTATGTCACCCTCATCTTATCTGAATTAACTATTCATAAAAATGTTGCACAACGGCAACGTAATTGTATCAACTCATCAACACAATGTGGGTTGATGAGTTGATACAATTACGTTGCCCAGCGCAGTATCACTCATGCCTCCTTCTCAATTCCATTCCCAAGAGTTAAATCAAATTTAAATCTGGCTCTATGTATTTGTTGCCAGATTTGATTAAACTTGATTTTATAAAATAAAAACGATCTTACTAAAGTTAGTTAGTCATCATCATAATCATCATCATCAGTCGGCCGTTTGGTGTAGTGGTTCAGAACGGACTACTATGCCGGGAGGTCCCGGGTTCGATTCCCGGCCGGGCAGAAATTGAAATGATGAATTTTAATTTCTGTGACGGGTCTGGGTGTGACTATGTATAATATTTATTTATTTAAAAAAAAAGTATATAAGTAGTANTTATGTATTTAAAAAAAAAAGTATATAAGTAGTATATCCGTTAAGCTAGCACCCATAACACAAGCATTAAGTTGCTTACTTTGGGGCTAGCTGGCGCTGTGTGAAATTGTCCAAAGATTTATTTATTTATTTATTTATTTATCATCATCATCATCATCATCATTTTCAGCCATAGGACGTCCACTGCTGAACATAGGCTCTCTCAATGATTTCCAAAAGTTATGATCCAAGGATTCCAAGTTCCGAGACTACAAGATGAAAGGCAGATTAAAACCATAGGTTAAGCCCATTGTAAGCTTGACAGTTATTAACTCATTAGAAAACTGTGTCGTCAAAATAACCGTTAATCTAGACAAGTGTGTCAAATATTTTTCGGCCCATTTTCACTAATTCTCCAAACAAGAGACCAAAGTGTGCCAAATGCCAATAGGTATCGACTTTCGTTTTCTTAAATGCTAAGTCAAAAGTCGTAACCTTTTTTGCTTTCTTTTATGATGCCTATAAGGCTTTCGAGGTATTGTGTTATTTGCTTTCACGTGAGCTAAGTCAAAGCAATATAGATTTAGATTTTTAGGAAGAAGAAACCGTCGAAGGAAATGTTTTTTCACGTGGCGAACGGTTTTGGTAAAATGAAACATAAATACTTACCGTATTTTGTGTGTACAAAAACAAAAATCGACCGAGCTTCAATTCAATTCCAAACAGCTTTATAAGTTCGGAAAAACACACAAATTGCAATGGCCGAACGTTGCAGACGTTTACGTAAGTTTGTATGGTAGCAATAATAAAGTTTACATCGCTTGAGGTTGCGACATACGGAAGCTTCCGCTTTCCGAGTTGATTTGTAACAACTCTATTTACTAATAAAAATAACGGAAAAAGACTTTATTCACGTGAGTTACAAGTTTATTCACCATTTTCCCTATCAGAGGGGCGTTTTTTTAATGAAAATTTTCTTTTCATAAGATGAATCTCCAATTTTTCTAATGATTTGCATTAAGCCTATTGTATACCAAGAACTAAGCTAAAATAATGTATTTATTTAATCTTTAGTGCCAATTAAATTGGAACATAAGGCGAACTTAATGCCATTAGGCATTCTCGACCTCCGAGTTAAGTAGAAAAAATAATCATGAAAATATCTTTTTTGTCCAGCCACATCAGCTAGGTGGGCGTCTTAAACAACTTTACCTACTTCCTTAAAATATATTTTTTAAAGAACACTGTATGTTTATTATCCTACGTAGGTGTTCGCCGACCCGAAAGTCATCAATAACCTTTAGGCAAGACGTTTCGATAGAAAGTGTGTTTTGAAAAGGTGCTTCGTTATAATAAACAACCCATCGATTAAATTCGGTATTGTATGTCTAGTGTGAAGTACATTTGGGGATCCACTAAGAAAATAATTTATTATTTTTAACACAATGAAAAATTCAAGTCAAGTTAAAAATATGTTATCATAAAAGCGAAACGGCAAAACTTATACTACAAAACAAGACGAAATTCCCGGAAAATATCAAGATCTACTACGACCAGACACCGGCACAAAAACAATACCTACAGTCTGTTAAGGGAGAGTTAAGTAATCGTTTGGAAAATGGCGAAAAGGATCTGATTCTCAAATATAGCAAAGGAGTGCCACTTGATCACACACTAATATCTTGATCGTTTATTATATTAGCATTCGACAGAAGTTGTAATTTCACTCTGCAGATACATTTCTTCCATCGCTAATATACAGGGTGGGAACGATAAGTGATCTCACTCGATTTATCTCTAAACTATACATGATAACGAAAAACTGGTTACTGATCATGATAGTGCTTCACGAGCTCTTTCAAACGGTACCAATAACGGTTACAAAAAAACTATGCAAGTTAGTTATTTCCTTATTACGATTTGCTTCCTATGTTTAACATTGTTCTTGGAACACATACAATATTACAACAAATTAGTTCTCTGAACTACGAGTAGAAGAGGTATGGATTTCCTTTCTTATCTTAAATAAGTAGCGTAACTGCGAATATCCTGTGCCCGGGCAAAAGTAATATTTTTTTCCCCTTCTGAGAATCAAATATTTTGGATCGATAGTGTTCCAATTCCACTTAAGGCGTAAATTATTTTCAGTTTTGTTATTTTTCTACAAATAGTCTGTTTACGAGAAAATAGTTCAAATTGAGTCCCGTTTATTCAGAACAACGAAACAATGGAATTGTACAAGATTTGATTTAATTAATAACGACCTAGGGAACGTTTGAACAAATTTTTAGAATTAGAGCTAGGATCGTTGAATTAGTTGAAATATCAGGAACATCATTTATGACCCGAACTCCAAACAAAGTTAGCGTCAAATGTAATTAAGGATCTTTGTTATTTAAATGTATTGAGCTGAAATGTAATTAATATTTACTTGTGTTTGGTATTAATGATCTTCTTGATTGATGAAAGGTTATAGGCTCCATCAAGGGTTGTTTTAGTTTATTAACAGGTTCAACGTACTTTGATGACAAGATGAGTGTTTTGTGAAAAGCAACTTGAAGTAGATATCTATATCTATAACAACGAAAGGTCACTCATTCACTCATCACGAAATCTCAGAAACTACAAGTGCTAGGAGTCTTAAATTTTGAAATTTTCCTTTTAGAACGTAAGTGCTCACTAAGATAGGATTTTGCAAAATTGAACCCTAAGGAGGGTATATTTATATTTTGTCATTGTCATCACACTAGGCAGTAGTTTACCACCAGCGGCATTTGAAATTTCTACCGCAATATCTATGTGTCGTTATAAAAGTTGTGCTTCTATGATAAAACATCAAACCTAACTCGCACCTACTAACCTACGGAACCGAAGACAGCTAACCCACTAAAGGTGACCGATAAAAAGCACCAATGATCACCGCATCTCAAGCGATCATGAGTGAAAGTCCAGACAGGGACGCAGAGTGCGCACGCGCATATGAAAGAAAGAGAAAGCTGCACTATACTGAGCCTCTCAGAATCATGTTCCGTTGAGTTTCCGTATAGATAGTTTACTTTGTGCCGCGGCTTTGAACGCCCTTGAAGCACTTTCGATTGCTTTGTGAAGTGTCTTTTCAAGCGGAATGAACCTGTCGATTGGTCATCAAGTGGTCGTGACTGATGGGAATGAGCTTGAGAACGTGTTTATTTGTTCAGCTGTTGGCAAAAATATCAATGGAAAATTTTATAGAGTTACGAAGCAAACATTATTTTTTATTAGCGAAGAGCCTTTATCCAGTTACGCACTTCTACAATTGAACATATCCAATAAAAATGTAATATAAGATAGATATTGGTTTGCCTTACGTCAATATTGATACCATTGAAATGCAAAACACATCAATTTCATTTTAAAAGTTGAACCATTGTGTGGGAAAAATCGGATCCATAATATGCCTTATCTGAATAAGAAATTGGATATTGACATTAATAATCATAGTAAAGAATACATAAACAAACACAATAGACCATTAAGGAAACAGGTTCTCG